TAACATTGCGTAAATCCCCACTTAGAGTACTGATTATTTAACAAGAAGTGGAAGAGCATGCATGTCAGATCCCCTTGAAACACCAAATATGTTTACTAGTAAAGTCATCTCCTTACCCTGAAGGTGTTTCTGTTCCAAGCAGTCACATTTGTAGGGATCTCTTTCCACATATCCTCACTCCCTTCTTATCTCTGAATAACCTAACAAGAGACCAAACCTCCAGAAATCAAATGGACAGGAAACTGAGAGTAATGTTGAAGGCAGACACAGGAAATTCCCCTAGTGCTACCTGGGAATTGTAGTTTTTCATGTATTTTAGGAACTACTAGGTGATGGTAATAGCTAAGATCTTATCGCACCCAAGGAGCTACACTGGAGGGATCCTTCCAAGATACTGAGGATGAAGATGAGCACTAGCACATGAGTTTGTTTTCCAACACTATAACTTAGTCCCTTTTAGAAATGGCTTTTTACATAAGACCCTTGGAGTGTAAGTGGATATTGTATGCTGTTATATTTTATCAGAAGATAAAATGTAGATTCAATGGTAGTCTTTATACCCTGTTGATTAACAAATGAGTGATCAAATAGACTCTTTCATTCTTCAGATGAATAAACAGAGAGGAAAAATAAGCCAACCAAAACTTATGAAGAAATATAGCAGAAAAATGAAAAGAATATTACCCTAGAGAATCCGAACAACCAGCCTCTGAAAATATTTTATTATTAAAAATGGGAGAAAGTAGAAAACTACTTGGTGAATGAACTGAATGCAAGAGGATATGACCTCTGTGTGACCAAAGAAAGCTGTCATAAGGATATCAAAGGGAAATGAAAATAAGATGGGATTCAATGGAAAATGAAATCAATGTGCTTAAGAGGAATAATAGGAAAATCAAAATTGGAATAACAGGATCAAGATCTTCACATACAGAAAAAAAATAAAGAAAGACAATCATCACTATTGAAAATTAAGTCACTCTTGTGGAGGGTGAAGTTGAGATGTTCTTCCAGAAGCAGAGGACAAAGACAATAAAACCATTCCACGGATTCAGAATAGAAATGATGCCTCATCATTAATAGATCCCCCTGAGGAAAAAGCCAGAACATCTTAAAGAGAAGTAATCCTGAGAAAGATAATGGAATAAAATTCCTACGATGGAATCAAAGACTCCATGAAACCCTGCTCGCAGGGGCTGAAAGGGGCTGTTCAAGTAATAAGTAAAAGATACAACCATTCTGGGAGACTTAAAGGCTTGTGGTAGGGGTAGGGGGACAAAAAATGGAGGGGAAAAGCTAAGTACAAAGTGGCAAGTTGAACCTGAGCGTCAGATTCGTTTCTAGCAGTCGAGCAGTAAATATTAATGTCTCATCATTTTCTGGGGAAAGTATGATCTGATACAAAATTGGCCCCTCAGGAAAAACATCCGTTTTTTTTCTACAGTGGGAATTAAATCCAAAGCCATCACGCTGAGCTATATCCCTGATGCTGTTTTATGTTTTATTCTGAGACAGGGTCTCACTGAGTTGCTAAGTTGTCCAGACTGAGCTCAGATTTGTGACCCTCCTGCCTCAGCTTCTCAGGGAGCTGGAATTACAAAAGGATACCACCACCCTAGGCTAAAACACTCATCTTTATTAACCATTCTTTCAAGTTGTGTTTGTGATCCTAGAAACATATAGGTTTAATGCTATTTCAGAAAATTGTTCAGCCTTGCCCGGCAAGGAAAGATGCAGGAAAAAGTGGAGAGCAGAATGGTTATTATTTTCCAAACAATTCCAGTAGCCTGTTTGGTATACAAGTTGGGAGGAAATGCAATGAGCGTGAAGTCCATATACCTTTTTTGATATATTTATTCTATTTCTTTGGGTTATATTAATTCAATTTTAAATTTAAAATTTTTTTCTCTCTATCCTTCACATTGCATAAGCCCTATTGATCTAGTCTCAAGCTCACCGATGTCTTCTGCTATATTTACTCAGCTGTTGAGCCCATCCTTAGATGAATCCTAATGTTTTCCACCTTTTTTTGTTTTTTAAATTTTGTTTAAAAAACAAAAACTTCCTTGCTTGTGGGATGGGGTATAATTCAGTGGCAGAGTGCCTGCCTAGCATACATGAGGCCCTGGGTTTGATGTCTAGTACTGCCCCCCCCCAAATCCTTATTAGTTGAATTTTGTCATCATTGCTTTTTTGTTGTTGTTGTTCTTTAAATGGGGTTTCTCTCAATTACCTAAACATGCTTATAAGAGGTTCTTTAAACACTTTGACTTTCCTGTTAAATCCAACACGTGCACCCACACTCAGAGAGTCTCAATTAACTACTTTTTCCCCTGAATGTGGGTCATGCTCTCCTGTTTTTCCAGTTCTTGTAATTTTGTTTTTGTTAAAAGATGAATATTTTCAATAATACAGCAACTCTGGATTCTGTTTTCCCTCAATAGCTTTTTGGCTGCTGTTTTAAGTAACTCACTAGTACTTATTCTGCAGAATTAGGTTGCCACACCAGTGTGCAGCCTCTGGTGTCCCAGCTTAGTTTTTCTCTAACATTGTTTTAGTGCAAAGCTTAGGGGCACCAGCAATTAGCTAGTGATTGTGCTCAAACGCCCCGAACCCATAAGGCTTCTGACCTCAGTTGGTGGATCTGAGTTTGGTTTAAGGAAGGCATTCAAAGTCTGGACAGTTTTCAAAACCGCTTTGGTATTTCTTTTTCTCCTGGCTCTCTCAACCCTCCATAAGTGCCTGTGGACTCCATCAGGGACTGTGGAATGCTTATCCAGGTCCTCAACAGCCAGCTCATTTCTCTATTAAAGTCCACACTAGTCTCTGCACCTGCCACTCCTCCCTGTTGGGACCACAGCAGGCTTGGACTGTGCACAGGCTGCCTCCATTCACCAATCACTGGACACGGATTTCCCCTCTCCTCTCTAAGGTGATGAACTCCCTCCAGCAACGGACAACTTAAGGGGAGATGTGGTGGCAGCCACAGCCTTCTATCCTGACCCAAAGTTTAGCAGTTTGTTGCCATGAATATCTGCTTCTCAATTTGCTGTTTCTTTTTGGTTCTTTCTTGCATTCTGAAATGTTGTACTTATAATTTTGCCCAGTTTTACAATCATTGTTTGGAAGGAGAATTTACTGAGCTCCTAATCCTCCACAATCAGAACCAGAACACACATCCCCTCCATCCCCACAAGCTTTGTGGTTTTTGCGTCTAGGCTCCTCAAACCCTGGCATTGTCCAAGCGAGTCCTAGCTCACCAACAACTTCCTTTTTAAATTGTAAATTCTGGGGGCTGGGGATTTAGCTCAGCGGTTCGATGGCCTGCCTTTGCAAGTGCAAGGACCCGAGTTCGATCTCCGGTACCAAAAAAAAAAAAGGTAAAAAAGTAAATTGTACATTCTGCCTCAAAAACATTTTATTGTTTCTTTTTGCTTCTCCAGTGACTGCTTATAGAACCCATCAGAGAGGAGCGATTTCTTCCAGTCTACCATTCCCTGCTTCTCCTCCATAAATACATGTCGATTGTCCCCAAGCAGAAAGAATAATGGAATATTTATAGACACTTTCTCAGGGAAGAGTAAGACAAGGTTTTATTTATCTCAGGGAAGGGGAAGTTTTTATTTTAAAAATTGCACTTTTCAGCAAAAAAGAAAGAAAATATATAATAAATCTCCAAATATTATAATTTTAGGGTTTATTGAGGTGTAATTGACAGAAATTATATATATTCAAGGTATATAACATGGTATTTTGGTAACTGTATACATTATGAAATGATTACCAAAGTCATTCTATCCTATTAATCCCTTTGCATCATTTCTTTTTTGTGATGACAATACTCAAGATTTACTCTATGAATATTTTAAGTATACAATATATCATCATTATTATTACCATTACTATCATTTTTGCAGAACTAGGGATTGAACCCAGGGCCTTTGCACTGAGATACATCTCCAACCCTTGAATATTTTTTAAATTTTGAAATAGGCTCTTGCTAAGTCATTAAGTTGTTCAGGCTGGGCCATAATTTGCAATCCTCTTGCCTCAGCCTCCCAGAAGGCTGGGATTACAACTTCAACAGCAGTCTTCAACTAAAGACACTCACAAAAGAGAACTTCCAGAACCACTTCAGGAAGTGGCAAGAATGATGGAATGTGTGTGCAAAACAAGGGGGAGTATTTTCAGAGGGATTAATGGCAATGTGCTTTTTATTGTAATACATTTTTAAAAAGTTAAACACAGCTCATAGTTTCTGGCCACACTAGGTAATTCCCTTTCCCTTTTGAAAACTGGACTTCCTAAAGCTTGCAACTGGTTAGTCAAGGCATGTTCTCAACAAGGTCAGATCTCTTCACAGAAATATTATTACTCAAAGATGAACTAAGGAGATAAAAATATTTCCAACTATTAAGCACTTTTACCATCACATTCCACCACCTTACATTTGGCAATCAAATTTTTAACTTTGCTAAAAGCTTGAGTCCATTTAACCTGAGCCCCTCATCTACCTGTATGCCTAACACTTCTCTTTTCTTCTGTACAAGGGAAGGGGTTTTTACATCAACATGTACAGCCCCCACATACATGACACTTAGTGTTCCCTCTATTGCACTTCATTTAATATGTTTCTGGTTAGTTAGGCAAAGATTGATTTATCCAGTGATTAAAAACCAGGATCTGGTCAAAAGTGGTATCAAACACCTGTAATCCCAGCACTCTGGAACACTGAGGTCAGAGGAGCCCAATTTAGAGCCTAACCTGGGCAAGTTACCAAGAGGCCGTCTCCAAATAAAAAGTAAGAAGGCCTGGGGTGTGGCTCTGTGCAAAGGCGCTGTGTTTGACCCCCACTATCACCAAGAAAACAAGAGAACAGCCCCAACATCTGGTGAAGATCTTGGTAATAGAGACTGTGGATTTTGTTTGTTTTTCCTGTGTGATGGCAACATTAAAATCACAGTGCCAGACTCCTCTAACTCTCTGGATCTCTGTTCAAGTTTCAGAATATCTCAGGAGAAATAATCTGATTGGCTAAGGAGGTTCAGACCCCCCCCAATCGACCAATCACTGTGAAGTGAGGTGCTTGGGTAAATCAGTCACTGAAGAAAAGGGGAGGAATGAGCTGGATGGATAAGAAGCATGTACTACAGTAAGGCTGAAGTCTCAGTTTTTCCTTAGTTGTCTTGTTGTCTTCACATCTGACCCTTATCATTCATTCCTTCCTTGTGTCTTCAAATACCCTTTAGTTTTAAAGCCATTTCTTATAACTTTATAATCGTATCCTCTCTTCTTCTCTTTTTTTTCCCTTTCCTTATATCCAAATGCTCTAGCAAACTATCTACTCAGCCTCCTGGGTAGCCAGTTTACTCCCTTCAGAGCTCATGTACATGTTATTCCCCTTCACTTTCTTCAACTATCTTAAACCCTAACCTTTGCCAGAAAACTGCATCTGACACCTGCTACTTCTCTACTTTCCCTTATCAACCTTTTCTAAAATGCCTTTTGGTACTTTTTTCCTTTCAGGAAGAAACATTATTGAATATAGTATATGAATGCTGTTCATTTGAATTTTATTGATTTTGAAGCTTGTACTTAATTTCTGTTTGCTCTTGTTTTATAGGTACCTGGAAGCAAAGAAGATTTAAACATGCTTTTATATTTGTATTCATCACAAAGTTCCTGTTAGGATACTAACCCTCACTGAGGGCTGTTCTCCAGAAACCTTGGTAAACTCTTGGAAGGTTGGAACGATCAAATTTGTACTTCTTTCTGTATCTGCCTCCAAAAATCTAGTAGTATCTCGAAACACTCGGCAGCTTTATTTCTGAAGCTCTAAGCGCTGGGAATTGGGCTAAGTTCTTTAGATGGAATACTCACTCCATCTCTGAAACAAGCTTTTAGAATCTGATATATAAGATAGTTATTTACAGCTAGGGAAACTGAGGCTCAAGTTGCTTTGCCCAAGGTCATATACATTGTAAGCCCAACATCTGGGGTTGCATCTAAAAAAAAAAGTATTGTTAGATAACTGAAAGGAAGACCCTTACAGTGTAACTCACATGCTAATTTAAAGCTCCTTTTGTGTCATATTTATATTTACTTCAATTTTGGGTCTGCAAAAATTTGATAGTTGTATTTATTTTTCCTACTACATGCTTGCTGAAATGGAAAAAAGTTAGTGTTTCCTTAGTCATGAATACCATTTCCCCTCAATTTTCTACTGATTTGTTCCTATCATTACCATCATTACAAAATATGTGTTCATTTAGTAGAACAGATTTTAAAATGTTTAGCTCTGCCCACGAGAAGAGGCTATTTTAATATCTCAGTCTGTTTCATACGTAGGAATGCCAGGCCAACACATCGTTAATAACACACTTCTGCCCACTGAGTTTCCATCCCAAACAAAGAAAGCTTGTGTTGTGGTGATTGCTATATGGAAAGAATCAATGTGAATAATGTTTCAAGGCACGAGTAGCTAAATAAAACTCACCGTAAACAAAAATCTTAGCCAAAATTAAATGGGCAAGTCTCAACTCAGTCTTTGCCTGAGAGTTACCGCCCGTGTCAATTTTCAGGCACTCATACATTATTTAAAAGTAACTCCCACGATTTTAACTCTCACTGACTTCATTTCACCTTTCTGAAGGCAGCAGGTGACAAATACAAAGAAGAGGGCCTGGGTGGTTATTGGGTATTACCACATAGCTTCCTCCCGGCCGGGTTTTCCAATCCCTGTAGAAGTCCTGAAACATGTGAACAAGACTATTCTGCCCTAGCAAGGATGTTAAGTTCGGAAGGTAATAAAGTAATCCATAATCAAAAGGGTAAAGAGGAAGGATTAACTCTCTGAATTGTGAAGAAAAGAATGGAAAATTCTTAACCGGATCTGCAAGTTTCTCCTTACTGTAGGCCTGCTGTATTGGTGTGGGAGGCACCACTTTACCTCCTCTGTCAGCCAATGCTGTTTCCACGGGGTACAGTCTACACCTGTATTCCCAGAACTCTGGGAAGCTGAGGCAGGAGGATCACTTGGACAAAGTAGTGAGACCCTGTTTCAAGACAAAAGAAGGGGGGGGAGATTTGGCTCAGTGTGAAGGCCCTGGGTTCAATCCCCAGGGCTGGAGAATGGGGGGAGGGGTGCATTCTCCTCTGCCTGGAGTTCTCTTTCTTAGACTTAAGCTTAAGGGTTACTCTTCAGAGAAAGAATCCTCAACTAATCCTCATTACAGACTCCCATCGCACTGTGAACTCTTCTTACTCGGTGGCATTTGTAGGTAATATTACTTACTTTGAGAGCCTTCTCTGTCGACAGTCAAAGTACCAGAGACTTCTTTAGGATGACCCAGAGGAGAGGCAGGGCACAAAGGAGAATGAGAGGGGAAAATGATTTAGTTGTCTAGGGAGAAGCAAAGACACATGACAGAGGGGGCGGGGGAGAGTGAATTGTTGCCAGGGTTCCTAAACATTACTCGTACATCTCTGTTTGCCATGGAGCCATCAGTATTTCCCAGGAGCCATGTTGTCCTCTTCCTCATGAACACAGAGCTATGCTACATTCCCAGCCTCCCCGCCATGAAATATTGCCCTGTGACTGAGTCCTGACCAAGCAATGTGAACAGAGTAACGGATGCCACTTCCGGATATGGTTCCTGTTCCCCTAGGCCCTTTAGGCTCCCCCTTCCCTTCCCCACCCCTTCCCCTCCCTCTCCC